TGGAATGCACTCCCCAACTCACCTCTGCCTCATGGAATCCCTGTCTTCCTTTTCAAGGATTACCTTTTCTTTGAAGCCTTTCCTGATGCCTTCACCTGCAAGTAGTACTGTTGATTTCAAACTATCTTGTATTTACTACATTGTATATTTAGTCACTTTATATTTATGCTGCATGTGTGTGTGTGTGTGTGTGTGTGTGTGTGTGTGTGTGTGTGTGTATAATATACATGGGGGGTGTATATACATATATCATGTATTAAATGTTTAAGAGACAATTTCTGGGTAATTAATCATTTTATTAATTATGGCTAGTGAGTAATTAGTGAAAGGATGGTCATTTGGCTGTTTCTCTTGAACCAAAGACCAATCATCGCAACTTCTTGATGCTTATATGCCCTTGGAAGAGTTGGTGTTCCCAACAGGTGGCAATCAACTCTGAATGGTTAACAATTAATGAGAAGAATGAATGTTATAGTGACAGGTGGACCTATTCTAATGAGGGTCAGGGGGATGTGACTTTGATTATGTCACTTTTACTCCCAGACCTCCCCCAGTTCTGTGCTATCTAGACAAAAAAATCTACCCCTCCCCACCCAAGCCAGAGTAGAGCACAATGGGCTTTCCCATTAGGGTAGGGTCTGAACAAGTTTGAGGAGAAAGATAATCAAATTTCATTATCAGTAATGTTGTTCAACATGTTCAGATGTTGGCTGAATAACTTATAATGGACTTATTTCGGAATGAGGAAATAGGAAGGTAAAAAATCCTGGATTTCCCCAATAGTAAATAGTGATTAATATAAGAGAGAATTAGTCATTTCTTGTGTGTGTGTGTGTGTGTGTGTGTGTGTGTGTGTGTGTATAGTCTCTCCCATTAGAAGGTTAACCCCTTGAGAGTAGTAATTGCTTCGTGTTTTACCTAGTACAGTGTGTACCTAGTACAGTGACTAGTACAGATTGGGCACTTCACAAGTGCTTGTGGATTGATTGATTAAAGGAAATAAAGTATCCTACAAGATAGAGGTGAGGAATAGATGCATGCCGGGAATGACCAATACACAGGCGTGGAGATAGAAGATGGAGTCAGGAAAAACAAGGCTATTAGCTGGACCATAGAGAATAGAAAAGGGAATGTGACTAACACTGTACTAACTGTGTGGTGCTACGTAAATCACTTAATCTCTCTGACCTTCATTTTCTTTAAATGTAAAATGGAGGATTGAACTAGATGATTTCTAAGATTGCTTATAGCTCTAAATCTATGATGCTATGACTGTTGAGGAGATCTGAAAAGACTTCCTTTAGAACATGGCACATTAACTAAGCCTTAAAGGAAGCAAACCCAAAAAAAATAAATAAATAAATAAACAAACAAACAAACAAACAAATAAATAAATAAATAGATGAGTAAATAAGTAAGTAAATAAATAAATAAATAAAAGGTAGTGGATATCTCTTATTAGTAATGGAAAGTAGCTATCAATTTTTAGAGGTAGCCAGCAACAAGGTCCCAATCACTAATCAATATCTGTAAAGTCCATGTTAAAAGTCTATGTTAAAAGATATTGGTCTTAACACTCAGTCTATGTTAAAGTCTGCGTTAAAAGATATTGGTTTTAACACTCAGCATTGGGAAACTCCAAGGCTTAGTGTCAATACTGTGAGGTTTTTGTTGTTGTTGGTTTTTTCCTCCTTGGCAGTAGTGTAAAATGATCATAGACATAACAAAAGGGCACAGTTTGCAGTCACTTTCTATAGATTTTGGTTTGGACGTGAAGACTTGATGCCCCACAATCTTATAGGAAGAAGTAGAGTTAATAATGATCACAGCTGGTTCCTGTTTGATCCTAGCTCCAATTTGCTTGAAATACCCCTTTTTATTTTAAAAGTGGAGGAAAGAGGAAAGTCTAGTGAGGCAACATAGAAGCATCAGAAGTTTATTTGAGACACACAGTCTAGTTCTCATTCACTACAGCTGGATTTCATCTAGATCCTGGCATGGGAGACAGTGTGTTTTCATGGTTATCAGGATGGCTAATGGATTCTCTTAACTTATCACTTGGAAAAAAAATAAACTGAGTTCTCTCTTCATAAACATCCCCCACCCAACCATGCATTTATTAAGGAATGCAAGGTAAATCTTTTAGTCATATTATACCTTAATTTTTCCTTCCTTCAAATGAAATTGTTATTCCTTTCTTCCATGACAGATAGTGTCATACGGTGACTAGACCACTGGACTTGGAGTTATGAAAACCTAGCTTCAAACACTACCTCAGCCACTTACTAGCCACATGACTATGAGCAAGTCACTTGATACTCTCTGAACCTCAGTTTCCTCATCTCTAATTGGGGATATTAATAGTAGCATGTGTCTTAGAAGGTTGTTATGAAGATCAAATGAGATAATTTATTCAAGTGCTTCGCAAATCTTATGGCACCATGTGAAAGTCCATTATTACCACACATATATTTTGGTCTTTCACAATGCTCATTCTGTATATAATTTCAAATTTAGTGCTGGATACAAGAAAGGCAGATGCAAATATAGGTAGATAGAGATAGATATAGATGGATAGATAGATAAATAGATATAGATATAGATATAGATATAGATATAGATATAGATATAGATATAGATATAGATATAGATATAGATATAGATATAGATATAGATATAGATATAGATATAGATATAGATATAGATATAGATATAGACATGGATATAGATATGGATATAGATATAGATCTATGTAACTTTGAAGACTCTTCTTCATTTTGATTCTTTTTAGAAAATTTCTCTCCTACAACTGGCCTGAGGTGCTAGGTAGCACGATGGATAGAATGTTGGGCTTGAGTTCAAATCTACCCTCAGATCCTTACTATCTATGTGACTGTAGATATTATTAAGCTATACATATTCAATTGCAGCAAAAAACATCTCTTATACAAGTCATAACTTTGTCTTGGACATCCCCGACAAGACACACCTCTGAAAAATATCCTCCAGATCTAGCTCACTATATCTGACTTTCCTCCTCTCTCCTTTCCTCTCCCTGACAATTTCAGAAGATGCTATGTGAGAATTTTTTTTTGGAGGGAGGGAAGAGGTTGGGAGAAGATACACAGGCAGAAGAGCTTCACTTAAATCACTCAATCTGGGGGTATAATTAGTAATTTTTGCAACCAGAGAAAGGTGACCAAAATGGTGTCCTTAATTCACTTGGTGGGGGTGAGGGTGCAGCCTTCTCAAGGCTGAGATAGAAACCTGGGGTGACCCAGTCTACTGATGGGTAAGCCACAGTAGGGAGGGGAATGGGGGAATAGGCAAGTAGACAGTCAAAGAAGGAGCTTTCTACAGGTTTAAGAAAGAGAAGGAAGAAATAAGCCATCTTATAGCTTTAAAAAAAACTATCCTGTGATTTCTTCAGTATAGGAAGTTCCCAATGGGGAGCTCCACCTCTCTGGGTGCAGAGTCACCCTCTCTCTAACCTATAGTCTTAGAGAGCTGCCAAGGGCACTGGGAGATTAAGTGTCTTGTCACAGGGTGGGATTTGACTAGGCCAACTCTCTAACTTAGATTATTCTGCCTTTCAGCTTCCTGTTTAAGTAATTCTAGTGGTGAACTATTTCTACCCTGTTGACTCAACCTTTGTGCAGCTCACCTGTAAAGGGAAAAAGAGTATTCATGATCTCTCCAGCCCATTCCTTACAAACAGGGAAAAAAGAAGGTCACAGTATATGAGGACTGTGGAGAACTGGGTAGAATAGGAAATTGCTCAGGGACCCCTGGATCAGTAAATAACCTAAGGCCTGAGTAGAGTTTCCAAGGGCAGAGGGGAAAGAAGGGCTTTTGTGGCTTCTAACCCACTCCCTTGTTAGTGGGGACATTTGATTGGAGCTCTTTATTCCATCCCCAATCTCTTAATATATAGTGTCTATGGTCAATTTATCTCAATAATAATCTCTTTTCTCCTTGGTAAAGAAGATGGGGTGGGTGGGGCAGACAGTAAAAGGGATGGTTCTGTCCCACCTTCAGCCTAGCCTCTTACAAGACTTCACAGTCTGCTGTACCCCAGCTTCTTCTGCCAAGAGGAGGTAACAAAGTACCCACTTACCAGAAAAGTAGTGAGGCTGAAACATTTAGGAGATATGGTCCAGCTCTGGGCACCTTGAAATTCCCAGAGAAGCTTCCTAATCTCCTTGCCCACTCCCTTCCTCAGACGATCCCTAGAGTTCTCAGCCTGGCATTGTACAAGTAATGGTAACTACATTTATTTACACAAACTACTTAGTATGTGTGCCCAGGCATGCATTGAATTAACTCAGTTTTAAATTTTATTTTATTACAATACCCAGTTCTGTTCATGTGTCATTGAGCTTCATGGTTTATTGCTTATGTAGCACGGTGATTACATAAGAAGTTTAAAAATATTAGAGGGAATACAATTTGTGTATGTTTTCAGAATGAGATTTAGTACCTCCCCCTTTCTTTTGGTAACTGCAAGATCTCCTATGAGAAAATTAGAAAGAGGCAGCATGGCATAGTGGTAATACACTGGACTGGGAGTCATTAACACTTGGGTTCAAATTTTACCTAAGATACTTAAAAGGTGTTTGTGACCCTGAGCAAGTCACTTAACCCCTGTTTGCCTCCACTTTGCCCATCTATAAAACAGGTATACAAGAACTGCCTCTTAGAATTGTGGTATGGATAAGATTAGATAGATCTCTGTAAGCCCTAACACCCACATAAATATTATTATTAATGTGTTTGACCCTTATTTCTAAAACAGTGCTTTGGGACTTGCTGACCTAGAGATCCCTTCCAACTCTACATCTATACTCCTATCAAATGTTCTACAGGCCAGGACATGGTGTCTCTCTGTGAGCCTCTGGGAAACTGAGTAATTATTTGAGGACAAATGTGGCTAATCTAGTTCATGGTTTTAATTTGTTTATTTTTCTTTTTTTTTCTTTCTCTCTCTATTTTTGATTCAGGAGAAAGGATGTTGGTTTGTTATCCTACAAAGATCATTTGCCTGTGAGCCAGGTGGTAATTGGTGACACTGACCGACCTGGATCTGAAGCCAAACTGACCGTAGGCCCTGTACGCTGCCAAGGAGACCGTAAGTTGACTAAGCAGCTGGTTGGCAAATGCTTTCTTCTTATGGCCTTGCAGTTCTGTATTTCCAGGCTTCTCAGGGTGTCTTGAAATATGGATGTACTCTATCCTCAAGTTCTTCTGGAAACCTCATAAGTCAGTTCCTTTACAGAGCTGAATGAACTACTGAATAGATATGTAGGGTGTAGGGAGGTGGCCATAAAATCTCTAGCACAGGGGCCCAGATTTGTGCATAAAATATACCTATTAATCTTCCTTGTATTGTATATGTAGCAACTTTGACTTCCCAAGTTTATAGTGATATAAATAGGCATACTAATAGCATAAATGCAGCACTCTACAGCTGTGATGCTGTTGAGGGCTGCTGTTAATACCATTAGCGGCACTATTTATACCACCATAAACTTAGTTTATGGTGGTATAAATAGCAGCATTATGGCTTAATGTATCATTGAAAACTTGGATTATAGCCATGTAAAGTTTGATATTATTGCTATCAAATTTCATCATCATCAGCACTTGATGATACCTTGTAAACCAAAGATTGTTTCCTTAAACTGTGTCTGCTTTCAGGATTAGCAGTGCAAAGAGTAACTTGGGGCTCCTTCTTGAGCCCTAAGTGGGAGGGAAGGGAGTTAGAATGATGGAAGTCCAACCTAATTAAGGCTACCATTAGGAGTTAATGTTCTTTGATATCCTTCACTGTGCTTTATATGCATTAGGAGAGAAAGGATGGCAAAGATTGCCTTAGTAAATCCACCAGGAGGGTCTTGAGCATACTTTTTCCTTTTCCAGTATATACCTGTGAAACATTTTTAAGAGACTGAGTTTCCCTGTCTGGCCCAGGCTAGATGTGTAGTGGTCAGTTATGGCTTGATTCTGAAGCTCATTGGGACAGAAACTTTGACCTTCTATTTCTAGCCTGGGTCAGTTTTGTTCCCTCTTAAGCATCCTGGTAGTCCTTCCCCCACCTCGAAAGGTCTCACCATATTGGTGCCAGACTTAGTGCAGCTCAGAACTACAGAAATAAAACAATCCTGGCCTCAGCCTCTCCCAATATTGGAAATTACAGGAGGGTACCACCGGTTCACAGGTGACCCTACTAAGTGTTAGGAGCAATGAGTATGTGAGATCTTGACCAAGATGAGGAGACCTAGGATTTGTTTCCACAAATGAGTGGTTACCCAAGAGACCTCAAGCAAACCCCCTCCATTTCCTCAGCTGCAGTTAGTAAAGCACTGATTGCTTCCTATATTCCCCACAGGGAAGTGGTAAAGATTAAAGTGCCTGTCACTGGATTCCTCCTAAAAGAAAGCATCATTTAAAAAGGATATAGATATAGCTTCTACTTCTGTAAATCCTGGTAGAGTTAGAACCACTCAGTGCTATATTATTATATGCACTCAGAGAAGTTACCCAAGGAAGACAATGACATTGACATGAGAGCTTATAATTGTCAGCTCTGGAACCACTTAAAGCAAACTACTGCAACCTTAGACTGAACCAAAAGAGATATATTGTGCAGGATTTGGGAAGGTAATAGTCCCATTGTACTCTGTCCTGGCAGATTACATCTGAAGTCCCCTTTTCCTTTCTGGGGACTACAGTTTTAGAGGAATACTAAGCTGGAGACCATCTAGAGAAGGGTCACAAGGATGGTGAAGGGCCTCAAGTTCATTCTGTATGATGAACAGTTCAGGAAACTGGGGATATTTTGCTTGAAGAAAAAACTTAGGGAGTTCCTAATTACTATTCTTACGTCCTTGAACAGCTAGAATATGGAAAAGAGATTTGACTTCTACTTCGTTCTAGAAGACAGAATTAAGACCAATGAGTCGATGTTATAAAATGAGTAAAACTTAGTAGGTTAGTCAATAAACATTGACCAAGCACCTGCTATGTACCCAGCACTGTGCTAAGTGCTTGTGACACAAAGAAAGGTAAGCAACAAAAGGAGGTATTTCTCAATAATTAGATCTGTCTAAATGTGGAATGGCCTGCCCCAGAAAGAAGTGGATTATATATCCCTGACTGAAGGCTTTTGAGCAATGGTTGGGTGGCTATGTGTTGCATGTATCAGAGAAGAGATTCCTTTCCAATTACTAATTAGACTACCTGGCCTCTGAAATATCTTCTAACTCATCTCTAATGGTCCTAATGCAAAAGAGGGATGGGGCATGTATAATTTTTCCTTACTTCCGTTTAGAATAAGAAAAAGGCAACCTTTTAAAATTAGTGTGATCTAGGACAGAAGTTGGGCTTTTGCAAGCCTTTGTAATATGACATTATTACCTTTGCATTACGAGACAGTGCATTCAAAGAGAGGTACCAGGGACTGTTACTTGAAAGAAAGGGTTTATACAGACAAAAAAATAGTCTGCTATCCAGATGAATAAAGACAAAGTGTGGACTTTACAAATAACAAGTATTATCCAACATAAATTAAATTCATGTTCATTTGGAGGCAGTGTTACTATTTATGAATACTATAGTGCACAGGTGAAAGTGATCAATACATACTTCACAGAGCTGGACATATCTAGATCATGTAGCTACAAAGGGATGACATATTTTTTTTTTGCATGGCATATATTACTTTATAGTTATGCTATGTACAATGTGTATTGTTGCGGCCAATCTGCAGGTTTCTCATATACACTTTCTAATTTTGAGATTAGCTTCTAAATAGGTGATAGTTACCTAGCAAGTAACTGATGAAAATTGAATAATTCTACAGATCTGCATTGCTATTCTTGAAGATAAGAGTAACATATATTTTGTGACACACACATTTGCATATCTCTCTATACACACCCATGTAGAAATATGTGTATGTATACACACACACTTTTTAAAATTATGGCCATTCACCTTCTTTCTACCCTAAACTCTCTTCCCTCTAGAAAGTACCAGTTGGTCAACAAGCATATATTAATGACTTAGTATGTGCCAGGCAGTGTGGGAAGTATGCAAAGGAAAGCAGAATAGTCCCTGCTCTTAAGGAGCTCACAGTCTAATGGAGGAAGACAACATATCAACAACAGCATACAAATAAAAATATCCACAACATAAATTGGAGAGTTTCTAGGGAAAGGCATTTGCATTAAGGAATACTGAGAAAGGTTTCATTAGCTGAGACTTAAAGGAAAGCAGGAAAGTTATAAAGTGGAGATGAGGAGGGAGAGAGTTCCAGACACAAGAGAAAGACAATGAGAATGCTCTGAATTAAGAGGTGGAGCATCTTACATGAGGAAAGCCAAGAGGAGCCTGGCAAGGAGGCCAGTGTCATGAGATCAGCAGAGTATGGAGAAGGGAGGAGGTATAAGAAGACTGAAAACTTAGCAAGGGTCCAGGTTAAGAAGGGCTTTAAAAACCAAAAGACTGCTTGATCCTAGAAGTAATAGGAAACTACTGGACTGAAAGAAAATGTACAGCACTCAAATACCAATTGGACAAAGTCAGAGCTCTTATTCATGACACCCTCCCCAAGTAAATTTGTCTATAGGAAGGAAATATAAGTATGGATTACAGATCTTCATTTTAGTCCTAGGTCTTATACTCTCTAGATTTATGCTGTTGCTCTCTCCTGCGCTCGCTTGCGCTCTCTCTCTCTCTCTCTCTCTCTCTCTCTCTCTCTCTCTCTCTGTGTGTGTGTTTGTGTGTGTGTCTCTCTCTCTGGAGTTAGGAAGACCTAAGTTCGAATGTAGCTTCAGATACTTATGAACTATTGACTGTAGGTAAGTCACTTACCCTCAATTTACTCAGTTTTCTCAACTGTAAAATGGGGATACTAACAGCACCTAAGTGGCAGGGTTGTTGTGAGGGTCAAAAGAAATATTTGTAAAAACACTTAGAACAGTGCCTGACACATGGAAGGCCTCTATTAATGCTTATTCCTTTCCCTTCCCTTATCCTTCCCCACCCCCTTCCTCCAGCTTTATAACCTAAAGTGAATATCACAAAGGTGATTTTATGAGTACTTCTCAGAGTGTGACAGGATATTTTGTTGTTTCTGGGGTTAACTTTCCTTGATATTACTTACCTAAGTCTCTGATGTCCAAATCGACAGTAAAAGAAAAAAAGTCTAGTCTAGAAATGACTCTTTCTGTAGTTGAGATGTACAAATGACTAAGGAAACCATGGGAAGGTAGTATAGAGATTTAAGGCCCCAAATCTGTCCTGGAGTCCTGAAGAATGAAACTATTTTGGGGGCTCTGCCCAACCGTTTCAGTGGTTTCGGTTGATTTCATCATGCCTGCTGAGTTTCATTTTTAGTTTGATTCATCTGAACCCATAGACCCTTATAATCAAAATGCTAAGGCAAATCAGTGAGTTCCACTTAGGTCGGCTGCACTTCCCAAATAGCTTCATGACATCGGCGTGCCCTTGCCTTTTCTTTGCAAACAGGTTCAAATGGAAACCTCAAATCTAAGTGAAACTGAAAGCAGGCTTAGCAGTGGAAGATTAGCAGAGATTAAAAAAAAAAGTCAGGTGAATTTACAAAGCCCCTTCTTAGACAAAACATACCTATCAAAAAATAAACAAAAGAGCTATTTGGAGGATGAGGTAGTCTGGAAGTATATTAACATTCTTGCAGGATGTAGGTACACTTAAATGCATTGAGTTTTCACATGGCATGTTTTGCTATTAGGGAAATCAGGTGACCACAACAATCAGAGCAGGAAAAAGGCACCCGTGAGGTCTAGATAGGGTTTGAGAATTGAATCCTCTGTATCTTACCTTTGAATAGAAGCTCGAAACCCTGGCTCCAACATGTGGGATGACTTATCACAAAATAACTACTAGTGTACCATGGAGAGCCAAATTTTCTAAAATTAAATACAGGTATATTTAAAGAAAGTTCTGTCAAAAAGTTGTACCCTCTGCTTTGCTTACCTCTCATTTCAGCTCTGACAGCTAGTAGTTTCAAATAGTAAATATTCAGTAGCTGTAGATAAGTAATGCATGACAGGTTGCAGCTTTAGTCTTTAAAAGTATGACTCA